ATGATCCTGAGAGGAGAATGGAGGAGAAGGGATTGCGGCGTGGCCATCCCTCCTGGAGGGTGACTTCTCACTTTCTGTCTCTCTGTCTCTCTCTGTCTGTCTGGTGAGTGCACATGCCCTATAGCAAAAAACAAAACAAAACAAAACAAACAAACAAACAAAAACACTTGCACATCTCTGCTTATTGTAACATTATTCGCAATTTGTTAGGACATAGAATCAACTCATATGTCCACGAGCAGATGAGAAAATTGAAAAAAAAATGGCCCATTTACACTATGGAATACTACTCAGCTATAAAAAAACAATGAGATCCTGGGACCAGCAGTTAGCGTAATGGCTATGTCACTGAACTCCCATGTAGCCGACCGCGATTCAAGTCCTGGACTCGATGGCTTAAACTCACTCAGGGCGCATGTGCGTGCGTGTCCAAGATCCCAAGAGGAGACTGGAGGAGAAGGGATTGTGTGTCCATCCCCCCTAGAGGGGTGATTTCTCACTTTCTGTCTCTCTGTCTCTTTCTGTCTCTCTGGTGAGCGTACGTGCCCTATAGCAAAAACTCCTCCAAAAAAAAACACAAAAAAACAAACAAACAAAAAACAAAAAAAAAAACAAAAAATGAGACCCTGACATTTGATATAAAATCGATTAATTGAATTGAAATTTTCGATGCTCAGTGAAATAAGTTAGAGTGTGAAAGATAGATATTGTATATCCCCACTTAATCTATACTACATTTCTGCACTCTATAACAGAAATTGAAAGACTGGAATATAAAATAGCAGGAAGGTCAACTTCAGATACTAAAGACAGTATAGGAAGGGGTAGGTAACAGGAGATAAGTAACAGGAGTGGGAAGGAGGGGATCAGGAAAAAGAAAAACAAACAAAATGTTTAATAGACATAAAAATTAAAAGCTGTAGCTGATAAGGCAATTGGCAATGTCTCTGATTTGATTAATATGCACCATAGTCATGCTGGGAAACACCAGGTAGTACACTGTAAAGATATACAGTGTTAAATGTAAATAAAAAACAGATGAAAGAAAGGAAAGCTTTTCTTCCATTACCTCCTTGATTTCCTGTCTTGGAAAATGGTACTATTCACTTGGTTCCATACTTCTCCCACATCCCTGCTATGCACATGAAATGGACCCTTAAGTCCTGTTATTTCTAACTCTGGAATTGCTCTAGAATTTCTGCACCTCTTTCCATATCTGTGTTCACTGCCTTGATTCAGGCAACATCCTACATCTTTATCTGGTTACTGCCTTCCTTTCTTTGTTCTTTTCCCTGTGACATGATTTTATAAGAATGAGCTTATTAATTTTACTCCAAACTAAGCTGCCTTTTCTAGTCTCATCTCTTAATTTCTCTTCCCTTGATAAAACTGTCAAGACAAACTATAACAGAGTGAATGGATTAAATAACAAAAGTTCATTTTTTCAAACTTCCGAAAGCTATAAGTCCAAGATCGAGGTGTCAGCAGGGATGTTTTTTGAGGCCTTTCTGCCTGTTTTGCAGCTGTCTTCCCTGTGCTAACTCTTCACATGACCCTCCTTTTATGCACAGGTAACCTTGGTGTCTCTGTATTATAATCTCTCCCTCTTTTTTATAAGAACACCAATCTGATTGGATTCATGCCAATCATAATGGCTTCCTTTTAACCCAATTACCTCTTTAATGCTATTATCTCTTAATATAATCATATTCTGATGAATGAAGAGTCAGTAACTGCTTAAACTTTAGCTTGAACCTTTTGTCTGCAGTTATCCCAAAGGTAATAAACTTCTCTGCATCTCTCTTTCCTTACCCCCTCCCTTGTCACTGCATCATATTTTTAATCTTTGTATAGGTTTCTCCCTCTCTGTTTGCACATTCAGCCTTCTACCAGTTCTTCCTTTGTAATTCAGACCAGAATGTATTCCTTTGGGTCACATTCCTTGAACTTTCCTTCCTAACCCCCCCCCCATTCCTTTTTCTCCTAAAAACATTCAGCCTTCTACCAGTTCTTCCTTTGTAATTCAGACCAGAATGTATTCCTTTGGGTCACATTCCTTGAACTTTCCTTCCTAACCGCCCCCCATTCCTTTTTCTCCTAAAATGACTTGGAGGGCTCTCCAATGGGCTCTAATAGCACCCTTAAATATCTCTGGAAAAGTTCAAAGAACTAGCTAATCTCAGAGCCAGCATTCAAATGCAATGGGTCTAACTCCAGAGTCTGCAGATTAAGCATTACATAAAAATGCATGAATCTAAAGAAATACACTGCCTTTTATCATCAGGATGAATTTCAAACTCATTGCTCTGTATGTGAGCTCCAAAACAGCTAACTTCTAGATGATGTATCTAGTCTCATCTCTCAACTCTACTCTAAACACTGCTTTATATTTAGGATTTGAGGAAAAGTAAAATTTGAACCAGGGTAGAAGTAAAAACCCTCTGTTGGTTCTTATATTTTTCTAATGTGCAATAGAGAGTGGCATTTTGAAATTTTATATAATGGCTTATGAATCCACTGGCTGACAGATTGAGAGACAGTTCAAGAAAACAGGCATCACTTCTGTATAAGAAAAGAAATAGTTCAGAGTTGTTAGAAAAAGAAAGAGACATTTATGGTTTTGTTTTTTCTTTTTTTTTCTGACCACATTACCTTTTCTGATTTCCTCTGTTGTCAAAAGTGTCAAAAACAGTCACCAAGGCATCCACTTATCTGAGAAGAATGGCAAGTGGCAAATCAATGACACTTAAGTAGTTTCTTCAGCCAAACATTCTAAGTGCTTAGAAAGATATTTATTTCAACTGTTTAGTCACTATTTTGTGGTAGCATTTGTTTTGAACTGAAAACTAGAATAGTGTCTGAATTTTAAGCAATTGGCATTTGCAAGCACAGCCTTGTAGAATAAAATAATAATTTAAGGGCCAGGAGGTGATGCAACTGGCCCACATGCAAAGGCCCTGGGTTCAAATCCTAGGACCTTTCTATGCAAGCCAAGCATGTAAATGCATACCAATGACCCAGGCTGGCTGAGACAAGGGGTGGATCACAGTTTGAGGACATTGTTGGGGCTGCTATCTTCTGTTCCTCTGTCTACCTCATGGAATAAGTTACTTTAAATATAGTAATAGTTTAAGTTAAAGGAGTGTGGTCTAATATTTAAAATCAACAGGTTTTGGGTTTAAATTCTGTTTCTATATTAAATGGCTATAAAATGTTGAGGAACAAATAGCTTAATGTTTACTAATAGAATTACAGTAAAATGGTCTAATTAAAGGGGGTGTTGTGAAAATTATATAACAATACATATCATGCAATTAGAACAATGCATGGCACACAGGGAATACTCAGTTATCTTTATTGTCATGTGTACATTTCTCTCCACTCTCTGTGGTTTTTATTTAATCAGGAGCCCCACACTATTGATATTTCTGGCTTCCAGGCCAAAGATTTCGATGAATAGTAAAACTAGGTCCCTATTCTTTTGTAATCATTGTTGTTAGAGAGATTTTTGCAACAGGGCATGTGTGCTCACCAGAGAGACAGAGAGATATGGAGAGACAGAAAGTGAGAAATCACCCCCCTAGGGGGGATAGCCACGCCACAGTCCCTTTCACCTCCTTTCTCCTCTCAGGATTTTGAGCATGCACATACATGCACCTAGCATGAGTTTCAAGCTGCCGGGTCCAGGACTCAAACCGCAGTTGGCCATGTGGGAGTCTAGTGTCATAATCAAGATGCCATACACTGTGCCTCACAATCTTTGTTCTAACAGTCCTTTCAGGTATATATAGAAATTTGTAGGTAGTTGAAAAGGCTGGGATTTGAATCTAGATAGCCAAGATACAAACTGTTCCTGTCTCACTTAAGCAGCCATGTGACCTTGGCCTCTCTGTGACTCTTTCATCTATAAAGACAATAAAAATTAATAGGCTTGTGTTAGTATTAAATTAACAAATCTAGTTTATTCTATATTATTCTTGGTACATGAAAGTTGTTCAATAAAAGTTGACTACTATTTTAATTAAGATAGCAACTTTTTGGGCTATTTCACATGACTGGATGTTCAAATCCGACGGCCACAAATCAGAACTCATTAGGACTTTCCACTACAACTAAATCATTTCAAGGATAAAGAAAAGAGGTTCATCAGGAATGGCTTTCCAGGTCTTTCCTTCCGGTCTATATGATATTCTCTAGGGTGTCGTGCCTCCTACAGTTTGGTTCTAGTCATTATAGGTATTCCTTAACCAGAGACATGCTGCTAAGAAAACGTCAGCGATAGATGTGTCTTGTAAATATCATTCGTCTTTTGACACCTAGCAGGTCCAATAAATAAACAGAGTAGGTCTAGCTCTTCCTTTTATAGATTCTTTCCCTCTTCCTCAAATTCATATTTTGAAGACCTACTCCCCACAATGTGGTGGTATGTGGAGGTGATGCCTTGGGAGGTAGAGAGGTCATGAGGGTGGAGCCTTCATGATGGGATTAATGGCCTTCTAAAGTGAAAAAGACAGACAGAAAGATAGCTACCTTGCCCTTCCCTCCCAACTTCACAAGCACTAAGAAAAGTACTTGTGCAGACATAGTGAGAAGGCCACTGTTTACAAGCCAGGAAGAAGGCCATTACCAGGAATCAGGTGCAGTTAGTTGGCACCTTCATTGTGAACTTTCTAGGTTCCAGATTGTGAGAAATAAATTTCTGTGTTTAAGCCACCTAGGTTACAGTATTTCGTTGAGGTAGTCTGCACTAAGACATTTTCCTTTGCTTCTTTTCCCCAGGTCTCTTCCTGGTAAAGGCAATGAATGACAAAATGTATTGCAGGTCATACTCTTTTAACATTCTCCAACTATCTTTTTTAAGTAAAAGAAGAGATGCATCTCTTACTTCTGAGCACCCCCTTGAAGCTACCCTTATTACTTTTGAAAGATAAATTTTTCACAGATTTCAAAATAACATTAAAAAGTCTCACTTTTACTCTTCTTTTTAAATGCACCCCCAAAGGGGGTGCACCATTCCTGGAAGTACTTCAATACCAGGCAGATGCAGAGAGTGGACAGAACAAGCTCCTATTCTATCTCCCTGCTTCAAAAATCTATTTAATATATTCTCCTCAGATAGAAGACATATCAGATATCAAGCTGATAATCAGATACTACACTTGATCTTAGCCAAAAGACTGAAAAGTGATTACTTCTACTCTTTTTTTTTTTGTTTTGGAGAGGTTTTTGTTCATTACCTCTACTCTTTTTTTTGTTTTGTTTTGGAGAGGTTTTTGCCATAGGGCACATGCGCTCGCCAGACAGACAGAGACAGAAAGCAAGAAACCATTCCCAGGGGCTGGCCATGCCACAATCCCTTCTTTGTTCTCCTCTGGGGATCTTGGGCATGGATGCATATGCACCCAGCGTGAGTTTTAAGCAACTGGGTCTGGGACGTGAACCACAGTTGACTACATGGGAGTCCAGCGACATAGCCATTACGCTAACTGCTGGTCCCACCTCTACTCTTAATACCATCTGCCCACTTCTACAAACTTCAACCCTTTTATTAAATTTTTTGGAGTAAACATCATACTGTACCTTGCTATTTTTACCTAAAATATCATGTAGATAAATTCGTGGAGAGAACTATACAAAGAAAACTTAATACTTTTAGATAGCTATAGTATCCCATGGTATATATGTGTGCCAAACTCATACAGATCCTTAAAAAATATTTTGTAATATGAGTTAGCAGAGATGACAACTATATCTCAGTGGCGTTTTCCTATGTCATTCGATCCCCCATGTTGTCTGTGTTCCAAGCTTTTATTTACTTTTTAATTTAGGTAACAACATTTAACATAAAATCTATATTCTTAACAACTCCTTAAGTATATAATATAGTAGTTAGTGTTATGGTGGATCTCTGGAACTTATTCATCCTCTATAACTGAAACTTGAAAACAACATTCTTTAAAAAAAAAAAAGATGGCAACATAGGAATTAATAAGAAAAAGTTTTCTGTAACCATACATTCATGGTGGTCTGATCCCCTCTCTTCAAGGAAACTTGCAACTCAGCATTTGACATTCTCATGGTAATAACACCAAAAAGATTACTATATTTTAACTGAATAAGAGAACTAAACTGTTCCAGTATTCCTACACTCAAATCAGTATTTACTAGACTGCTTAAGAGCTTTTTAAAATTTGTCATAGACCTTTATTCAGCATGTAAAATATATACATTTCTTTTAACCTTGTATGATTCAAAATGTAGATGTCTGGTTCTTTGGATAGAGCAAAGTGGTTAACAGTGCAGTCTTCCAAATCAGGCAGATAAAGAGTCCACACTAACTCAACTGTGACCAAACAGCTTAGTGACCTTAGGAAAATTTACATAAGCTGACTTCCTCACAATTTGAAAATATGGAATTTAGGTTAGTATGTTATAAGGAGGATTAACTGAAATAATGTACATAAGTCACACTATAAAACATTTATTTAGGAAGTGGTAGTTTTCATTATATCACCATCATCATATGTATCTATTTTATTCTGTACTATATTCTGTAGTAAAAATTGGGTGCAACTACAAATATGACACCATCTTTGCTCTCAGAGTTTACAATTTAGCTAGAAAGGCATTTCAGTAAACAAATCATAACTTTAATCAATAACAAAGCAATCAATTAATAAGTTCAATGCTATGCTCCAGGGAAGTGAAAGTGTTCTGAAAATATATTTGATGTAGCAATGATCTAAGAAGTTAAAACGTTCAAGAGAGTCTCCATTGGAAGAGATAGCATATACAGCAACTTCAATTTTCACTTCCCTAAGATGACAGAAAAACACACAACACTAGAACAATGCAGTGTTACTTTAATTTGGTAGTGGTGATGTGGTCTTTAAAGCTCTCAGATTTGGCAGTACCTATGAGTCTCAACATTTTCTAGTCAATTCTATGACACATGAAGAATGCTTTTCTTCTTTATTGTCAACCATGTTTTTGACATAAAAGCAAAGTGTGAAAAGTGAGGGGAAAAGGATGATTTTTAGACTTCCTCTCCCGTTTTTTTTTTGGGGGGGGTATAACCAAACAAAAATATGAGATTCATTTTGAAGTAATCCAAGACTTATTGAGAAAATTGCATTTTTCTCAAAAGGAGTAAAAAAGTTTATGCTTCTTGAAGAAGGATCATAAATCCCCAGGATTCCTCTGCATTGAAGGTGCTTAAATATGAAGAATATTATGCTCCTGGTGGCCATTACTACCCATATACCTCATGACTCAAGCACTTGAGACAAGTGCAAAGGATTGCCCCATGGCTGGCATCTGAATGTCCGCCTTTTCCAGAATGGTAATGGATCTTGCAGGTATCAAACTTAATGAATGTGTAAATGACCTATGTTTGTTTATTTTAAAGAGACGATATAGTAGCAAACAGTGCCCAATCTATCAACAGGAAAAAGGAATTTCAAGCCAGAACCCTTCTGGAGCAGCATCTGCTCTAAGATTTGAATTTCCTCTCACCAAGTGTATTTCTTAATCCCAGTTCTGTAATTCAAGTCTAATAACAGTATCCCAGTATATTTTATTGTAAATTGATAGGCTTATGCAATCAGAAACCATCAGTTTAAGATAGCCTTTTGGGGGGAAATAGTTTATTACAATTTATTTCCACTCAATTTCAGTATCAGGCACAATTATTCATTAACTAGGAATAAGAATTAGAACTCAAAAAGCATCAAACCTCCTGGCAAACAGACAATTTATAGATTCATACCAGGTTCGGCAACACTGCCAAATATCCTTCCCTTGAAAAGCTGCAAAAAGTCAGTGTCCAAGACACATTTTGGGAAATCAAACCTAAAAAGTAGCTCCTGGAAAACTAATACACACGGAAATAAAATGCTTCTTTCTGTCCCTTGGCATCTCACCACCAACTTTATTATTCACTTTCCTTCACTCAGGTTCTTTGGCTTAGCTTCAAGCTCTTCAGGTTAACTGCACCAGAAGACAAGTCTAGGTGTTGAACCAGCACACTCCCCACAAGAGAGTCTGTGAGCCACTTAGCTGGAGAACATCGCCAGCATTCTCCTCTCTGCAGGGGCAGCATAGACAGATCCTTCATCATCCTCAACACAGACCCTCTCAGTCAGTGCTTCTGATAATCAGCTCACACAGAATCCAAAGCAGGAGGTTCATTTGTGACATTCAGATTTGCGCCTGTTGTTACTGGTCCACACCTTCTGGGTCCTGCAATGCTCACCTTGGAATGTTCTGGATTGATTTCCCAGATGTGAAAAGCGCTGCTAGAGCTCTGACCAACAAGCTTAATCTTTTGCATTAAATCCGCCTCTTGTTCCACTTTGCTCTCCACTACTCAATGCTAGGCGCTCAGGCACTCGCACTCACGTCTTGGCAGTCAGCCACCTTCCAACTTAAAAGAGGACCAGTGAAGAGCTCCAGGTTCTGAGGAGGAGCTACCTGCACGGAGACCACAGCAAGCGTATCTGAGCAAAGGAACCTAGCGCCCTCTCCACGCAGCGCAACTTTGCATTTTCCACGGGCAGGTCCCAACCCACAGAGTGGCGAAACATCCAAGTGCAAAAACACGCCGCAATCTTCAGTCAGTCCAGCACGTGGAAAGGCACTGGTGTAGATCGCGCAGAGCACAAGAGCGAATCACGGTTTTAAGAAAACAAAACAAAACGCAGTGGACGAAAGTTTACTTTCCGTAAGCAAATTATAGATAACACTTGCAGCCCAGTCCATTTAAGCCCAACTCCCGCTGGAAGGCTCCTTTCCAGGGAGCTGTGGATGATCCTGGGGCGCTTCTGAGAGTAAAATCTCTCCAGCTTGGCTTGGGACGCCTCAATTGTGCGGAACCTAGTAATCTTTCTGGGACTGTCGAGGTTAGAGAACGAAGTTGGGACAGAAGCTAGCTACAGACCCACACAGCTACTTCAGGTGCAAAACCTTGGAAATGGCTGCAGAAGGGGCTGGGTCTCCAGACTCCTAATCCCTCCCCTTTCTCCAGCTGAGCCGTTCACCTGCTACCGTCCAGCTTACAATATAAGCGTAGCCTCTAAACCAGCCCAGTTCCCAAAGCTAGTCTCTACAAATTCCTAGACAGTTCCTCTCAAAAACATCTAAGCGATCTTCAGGAACACTTGAGGAGGAAATGTTCTTAGAAGGAATGGGCAGGAAAGGCGAAATGGGAAGGGATTTTGTCCTAGCAACGCCGCATAGGCTCCTCTATTCGAAGGACCTCGGGGAGCCCCTCAGCTCCCAAGCGAGCTTCTGCAGCCACTTTCTTGTGGCAAGGGGGCGGAGGTGGCCCTGGAGCTTGGGGATGGGGACACGGTTAATCTTTAGTCCGGCGACCTCACGCAAGGTTCTGGGAGAGTAGCCTCCATGAGATGCCAAACAGGTCAGGGACCAGGGAGGTGGCCCAACAGCCTTGAAGGCTTGCAGCAGAAGCTGGCCGCCAGCTCTCCGCTTGCTGGTGGGGACTGATCCAGCGTGCCCTCCTCTGCGTCGGGGAACCCTTCTCCTCTCCACACCTCTCCCACTCCCCAGTGGCCTGGGGCCGCCGGCGCGG